TTTTAGAACAAAAGCTCATAATTTAAATACCCGTGAAGCGAAAAAATTAATTAATTAATCCTTTCCTTGCATTTGTTCAATATATTGTACATTTAATTATTTGAAACATTGGAAGCGTGCTACTAAAAATCTTATTAATATTTTTGAAAACAAATTAAAGTTTGTGAAGCTTTGGAATGTCCCAAATAGTTTACGTAAATTTCAAAATCGAAAACGTTTCAAAAATATTTTTAGAATTTAAACATAGACCATTTTATAAAATTCCAGTGACACGCAAGTTGTGGTAATTTACTGTACAAAAAATACGTGAAAGTCAAGTAAAATCGCTAATAAAAGCACATAGTATGGAAATAAAAAAGCATTTCATCATATAAAAATGCTAAAATTGAACCATCATGATTTAAAATATTTTTCCAGAGTGGTAAAAAAAAAATTACAATTGGGGTATTCACAACGGTGTCGTAAGTGTCGTATTGTCGTATGTCGTAAACTTTAAACGCCTAAAAAATATACTAAGGGGGTTTGAAAAGTGCCATCAAAGTCATATTATGCATTCGCGCAGTGCTAAAAATTAGTTGGTTGTGGTTTCAAGTTCTATTAACATTTATTTAAGCTTTTAAAGTTTACGACATACAACAATACGACACCTACGACACCGTTGTGAATCCCTCAAATATATTGTATATTTACACAGAAGGGTTGTAAGTGTCTTGTACAAAATATTGTACAAACGTCCGCAAAGGTTGCAGTTGAACAGGCAATTAGGGTGGTTTTTGCCGTGGTTTTTGAAGAGCTCGTGCGCTGTTGTTGCAGGAAAGGGTAGGTTTTTGATTTCATGATCTACTGAAGGCAGAAAACCCGGGAAGGTTTATTAAAACGGGTCATTTGTATTTTATAACGTAATTGTATCTAACATTTTTCAAAATTTCTTTATATAAATTCTCTTCTCATGGAGAAATTTTAAAATTTTTTAATGCAAATCTTAACTAAAGATACTTGAAAAGATATAAAATATTCATTCCAACATATCTGCAGTAAAATCGATTATTTTGTGCATACATAAGTTCATTTTCAGTGAAATAAAAGTTTTTTTCCGTCAAACTTAGTGAACTATTTATTAAACTTTCTTCAGTCCTTTTGCTCCTTTGCGGACTTTTGTACAATATATTGCACAAATTTGAAGTAGCCCTAATAGCTACCCAAAACAACTTTTGAATATTTTTTTTTTACTTTTGGTATTATGAGGCTCTATGAACCTTGTAATTAAGAAGAAAAATTTGTATATTCATCAGGGACGGATTTGACCGGAAAGGGTTAATAACTCAAATTAGTTCAGAACTTTTCTTAGTTGCTCTCCCACTTCTAATTGGGAGAGAAACCACATGGAAGAAAAGTTCTGAACTGGAACGATGACTCTGCCTTTAGCGATTGCGTTCATTTATTCCATTTGGCAACCCTAAATAACATAAAACATTTTAGTGGTTTGCATTTGAAGTGGAAGCATTTGAATAGACAAGTGAACGAGCGAATTGTACGCATAAATTCGGAAAGATATTTCAGTTATTTCCAAAATGCTTAAAAGACGCGTCAAACTGAGGTATAAAAATAAACGAGTAAATAAAAAGGCTAAAAACAATCTAATAAAATGACTTGGAAGAGTATGCGGGTTCGTCGTTATCCGAAAAAGGTAACTACTTAAAGCTTGAAATCGACTTCCTTTTCCTTCAGGTCTCAGTTGATTGACAGTGGATTTTGGTGAAACCACATGAACGAAGAAGGGAGAATTAAAAATAAGAAAGAAATGAAAAAAGAGGAATATGGCCGCGTTGCGGTTTGCTTTGCAAATGCTTTTGGTTATTGCTAAAGTTTAAGCCTAAATCTGACGATGTTTTCTCTCTTTATTTTAGGACCAAGTTTCTTGCAAAGATTTGATAAAATTTATCTTTTTCTGTAAATTTAAGGCAATAATATTTTTAAATCAAACTCCATTTAACTTATTATAATTGTAAAGTTTGTATGTATGTACGTACATAAACGACTACTTTTGTTTTAAAAAGTCTAGTGTTATTACCTGAATTGTTGCTGCAGGCCCACAGTTGATGCCGGACATCAGAAAGTCATCGGGATCACTTTCATATGGCGGTTCGTCGTACCAATGGCCCTGATGATGCAGACCGCTAACCGCATAATGTGGTCCACGTAGTGCGTCATCATACATATAGGTGTCGTCTGTGAATAAATAATACAATTCAAATAATGGCATACATACATATGAGCCCAAAAGAGCAGAAATGGCCTAAACCGCATTTTTTTTACTTAGCTTCTGAAAATAGTTTCAAATGTGATAAATTTTAAAATAAAAGTAGTTATTCTTTAATTTTATGGTACACACATAATG